CAATTCCAATTCAATTCTAATTCCGTCAATTCCGTATACCAAACGGATCCTAAAAATTTTGACAAAAAAAAAAGAAAAAGAAAAAGCAGTGTCCATGACTCAAAATACTGGATGAGTTGTTTTCATTAATCATTTTGAAAAAACATTTGATTTATCATTTTGAAAATGCGATAAGCTGGAGTTATCGGAGGGCTTTTCAATCAATTCTATTTTTCAATCAATACATTTCTAGCTTTTGGATTGAATTAATTGCGGTGCCTCATTTCAAGAACCGATGAGTTAGGGAGAAACCAACGAAATGAATCAGAAGATTACAAGTGAATATAAGAAACTCACTAATTAGTTCTGCTTGCGCAAAGTATTAAAGACTGCGTATAAACTAGAAGAATGAAAGAGTCCAAATTTACCTTTTCTCAAGCTTTTTGGTAGGGGTTTAGCTTCTAAAGAAGCTCTTTCTTGGATGTTGGATACATGTATTCATAAACTTGTACTTGTTTCATATCGTCATCTAGTTGTTCAGACAATTAATCACAATGATACGTCTTTTGATCTATATCTTCATTATTTGGTGCTTTGGTTGATAACTGCAGAGCCCTCATGGCTTGTTTTAATTCCATTTTGTGATTTCTTATTCATCAAAATTTAAATACTTTTGCTAATGCATCGAGATCATCTTAATTTACAAGAATTGACCCTTCTGAACTTTATTCTTGATGAGGTTTTGGTTTAATGATATTCTGGTTCATGTAGTGAATTAAAGTTTAAATAAATTAATTAACATAACAATTAAATTGCTACATTGAATGACCATTTACTATGTTTTGATATTTTACTTTTTCAACACTCTATAATCATAGAGATGATACAAAGTAAAATGAAGAGAAATAAATTTTGGTAAGATAAAAAATATAGATAATAAAAAATGTCAAAGGAAAATATATCTTGAAATACAAAATGCCTTTTAAATAAAGTTTCACAAGTAGTAAAATTTATGTAAGTATTTTTCAGAAAAGATAAAATGAAAAATGGTGAAGTTAGAGTGTTGAATTTTTATATAAAGAGTTGTAGTTTAGATATTGTAAAGTGTATATATTCGTCTCGTCCTAAAACTATTTTCCACCTTTCCTTTTTTTTTCATCCTAAAATTATACGAAATGTAGACCTTTTCACACTGACACGGTAATGTAAGAGTACGTATTGACAATGTGATGAAATACTCATGAAAATAGTGTAATATGACAGTGTGATAAATTAACCGTCATTGATATACGACGGCACCCTAGTGGCCGAAGCCGACGGATGTCAGTGTGGCATTTATAGTGTAACAATGTTGTGAGTGTGCTAGTGTAACAATGACATTGTGAAATTAGGTTCTGTCTTAAAAGACTTAAAACTTCTATCATAGGTTTTTATTCTTATCGAGAGAGTTCTCTCTAATAATACTCCTGCTTTGGAGTATTTTTTCAATTTTGACTTTATATCATTGGCTGAAGTTCTGCCGACAGAGCAAGCTCAAATGACGAACAAATCTAAAATCAAGAGGCGACGCTGATAGATCTAGAGACGGATGTTTGTGGTGGACTGGAAAAAAAATTCTTGGTAGGAGGAATTAAGAGGGAATTATGATCACAAAGAAGTAATTTTTTTCTACGAGTCAGTGAAATCAAGTAGATCCTTTTCGCGTCATAACAATGAAACATGTCTTTTTTCTAGTTATACTAACGAAACATGTCTTATAGATTTTGGGTCTTAAAATTTTAAAATATTAACATTAATTTTTAAATTTAAAATAACAATTAAAAAATAAAAAGTAAAATTTAAAAACTAAAATTTTAAAATTAAAAATAATAAAAATTAAAATTAAATTAAAATTTTAAAATTTAATATTTATGATTTAAAAACTTAAAGCTATGATTTTAAAATTAAAATAAAAAAACTAAAAATTATAAAATAAAATATAAATATTAAAAAATTATCAAATAAAAATAAAAATTAAAATTTTTAAATTAAGAAATTTAAACATTAAATTTATAATTTGAAAAATGAAATTATAAATTAAAAATTAAAAGTTTTAAAAACGTAAAAAAATACAAATTGAAAATCTAATATTAAAAGTAAAAAATGTAAAAATTACAAAAACTAAAACTAAAAATTAGGAATAAAAAATCAACATTAAAAATTATGAGCAAAAAATTAAACATTAAAAAATTAAATTAAATATTTAAAATTTAAAATTAGAATTAGAATTTAATATTTAATATTTAATATTAAATATTTAAATTATTAATTTTTAGAATTAAAAAATAAATTTAATATTTAAATAAAAAATATAAAATATAAAATTTAATTTTAAAATATAAAAGTCTAAAACTGTAAAGTTAAACAATTGAATCGAACGGACCTTAGTCGCTACTAGGAGTGGTAGTGCACTACTTCGATCAGCAGCACTTTAATTTGTCCCCCAACTTCTTTTTTTTCACCTTGGTCTCTTTATTATACTTTTGGTTAATTTTAGAGCATGTTTGTTTTCGGTTGAATTATAAAATTAGATGTTTGATAAAGCTGGAAGTAGCTAAAAGTTATTGAAAAATTAAAGTATTAAAAAATCACTTAATTAAATGATTATTCAAATAAATATGTTATTGTAAATTCATCAAATGCAAAAATATGGAGTAGAAAAGAACAGAATAAAACTAGAAAGAATTAGAAAAAAATAGAAAGAATTCAAAAATACTCAGTAAAAATTAGCTTTTAACCCAAAAGAAGATGCTCTTGTAGGGAAAGAAGGAGAGAAGAGATAAGTGGATGATAAAAGTCCTCTCTGGACGGAAGGAAAGAAATTCATGTTGGCCATATTAATTATACATTGCATGCATATAATGTTGCTCATATTAATGGGTCCTCTTGTTTCATTGCTACCTAAACGAGCACTATATAAAGACCACACACACACACATATATCCCAACAAGAGAAAATCTGCAATTACTAATTAGTTAATCACTTCAAGTCTTCAACTAACCCAAAGTACTCTGAGAATTCAAAAAGTATACATACAATGAAAGTTCTTCTCCTTTGGTCGTTTCTTCTCTTCTCTGCTGGTCATTATTATTCCGCTTCTGCCGCTGCCCGTTTACTGGCCGCTCCGCAGCCAGCCGCCGGCCATGCATTCTCGCCGATTACCACCGCCGGTCACAGTCCCGGCATTGGCCACAATGTGCCCCCTCACGCTCATACTGATCATGCAGTAATTTTATCCCGGACGACCCAAGACGGCGGCTTCGAAGCACCGCCGCAAGGGGATGCATTCTTGCCGATTAGCCACGGCCCCAGTCCTGGCATGGGCCATAAAGCCCCCCCTCCGGCTCATACTACAGTTTTATCCCGGACCCACGGTGGCGGCTTCGAAGCACCGCCGCCAGGGGATGCATTCTCGCCCGTTATCATCCCCGCCCACAGTCCCGGCGCTGGCCACGGAGGAGGCCCCTCTTCTCTTCCACTGTTCAAGTGATCACATATATATATATATATATATATATATATATATATATATATATATATATATATATACATACTCGATCGACCCTACTACGTACCCCGCCCGTCTTAAAACTTTCTATGATACGGATTACTTAAACTATCTGTTAAGGCCGGAAAACTGCTATTAAGGAAGCACTCCTATTAAATTATCTTAATTACTTGTTATGGATACTTGATCAAACTAATTATGTACTGTCAATAAAATGCCAAATCTTTCTTTGCATTTCAATTCGCTCTTCTCTCTTTTTGTTCATTCGCATATTTACTTGTTGTAGCCATATTTATATGATTCAAATATTTTGAGACATTTACCATGCTTCCGTACTTACGTTGATAAAATTAAGAATAATTTACTTAAATAGGACTAGAACATAATGATTTTCTCAATATAGGATATTACGTTTTTATTTTCCAATGCAGGACCTTTGGTCATTCACTATTAGTCATTATTCAACTAAATGTCAAGCATCACTTGGACATTTTTCTTTTCACTAGTCATTATTAAGTCCTATTTCGGAAATAAAAAAGTTTAAATCCTACATTGAGAAATTAATAGTTCCTACATACTCACTCTTAAAATTGCGTAATGTTTACCTGATCTGATCTGAATGGATCTGATTGAAGTTTTGATCCAAGTTAAACTTAAAATCATTACCCTAATTTAATAGAGTATCTTTTAAAAATTATAATGATCATTCATATTATAATACAATCAATAACTTTTGTTCTATGATTATTATATTCATGCAATAAAAACAGGAAAACTTACATGAATACTCTAAGAAATTTGTGATTTTACGTTAATACTCAAAAAATGTACTCCCTCCGTCCCTGAGTGTTTGTCCACTTTTATTTTTTCACACCATCCAATGCACTTTTTTAATCCATTTTATCTTGTAATTTGTATATTAAAAAATTATAAAAATTATATATTAATAATCTATATGTTAAGACGAATCAAACAAGATCACACATGACTATTTTTAGGCTTACACATTGAGAGAATTTGATAAGTCAAAGTGCTTAGATGAACAGTTCTAAAAGTCAAAAGTGGACAAACACTTCTCCTAGAAATTATTCAATTTTACACCAACACTCCAGCATGCCAACCAAATTTTTAAAAAATTATTATTGAGTTACTCAAAAATGAGTATTAAATTGTTTCAAAAATAGTATTCAATTGCTAGTAAATGAATATCTGAGCATATACCTGAAAACATAGTATTGCATTTAATTTATTCTGAATAATGAAGAGAAGAGTGACAGAAGAAAAAATAATGATAGAGTAACAAACAAAACAATCACAAAATGAATAAACTTCTAAATATGTAAAGTATCAAATAATCAAAAATAAATATTTAAATACACAAAAAGTAAGATTGTAAATTTTGTGAGTGTTTTATTGGTGATTCTAGCATTACTAAACAATATTTTAAGGAGACTAGTTACCTAATCTTGATAGAATTTGTGCTTCCCAAAATCCCTGAGAGCAATGGAAAATATGGAATGGAGCCTCTGTTGTCGGGAAATTAGGGCTTGAATTTCTTCTGCAATATTTGGCGTTTCCATTCGAGAATAGTTGAACCACCTTGCAAACAAGCCTCTGGGTTGAAATGGACGCGGCTCGGCCTCAAGAACGGTATCAATCCGAGATCAACTGGGACAAGTGAGTTTTCCCCCGATCTGTTTTACATTTATATGTGTTCTCAAATGCCCGTTTTCGTGTTATTCTAGATTGATGAAATGGAGAGTATTATAGTGTTAAATATGTGAAAGTTCCATGCGTTTGTGATGATTCTTGTACAAAATGCTTTTTGCCCTTCACGATTTCCGGCGAATCTTCATGTTTCTCTAATTGATCCGTTCATCGCGCAGGCTTGATAAACCTAAGTTCTATGTCGTAGGAGCTGGGATCTTTACTGGGATTACAGTTGCACTTTATCCCATTTCAGTTGTCAAGACAAGATTGCAGGTAGCTGACCATTACTCCCAAGAAAAGAATGCATTTTCTGTGTTGAGAGGAATTTTTAAAACGGACGGGATTCCAGGTTTGTATCGAGGATTCGGCACTGTCATTACCGGCGCAATTCCTGCCAGAATTATATTTCTCACGGCGTTGGAGACAACAAAAGTGGCCGCTTTTCGGGCGGTTGAGCCGTTCAAGTTTTCTGAACCTACACAGGCAGCCATAGCAAATGGTGTTGGTGGCATGCTGGCTTCGCTCTGTGCACAGTCTGTGTTCGTTCCAATTGATGTGGTATGCAAAGGATTACTGTTTTCCAATATCATGTTCTTGAGTGCTTGTTCGATCTTCCTAACAGTTGTCTCATGAAATGATTTCACTGTAAAACGGGTAAGCTTCAAAGCAAGAGAATGGAACTTTTAGTCTCAATTTTTAGTGCCACCACTTTAAGTCCTTAAATGGCAACTGAAGTGGTGTTTTTAGAAAAGACCTTAAATCTACAATTCAAACCTCCTACCTTTAAGTACATAGGTATGCTAAGATTCTAACAAATGATTGTAATTGAACGTTACTAAGATTTGCATTTCAAGATTTGCAAATATGTACTAAAATGAAAAAGAAAATTTGACATGTAAATTTATGAAGGACTGAATTCACCACTTTAAGAATTACAAGGGGCGAAACTAATAATTGAAGGGCTAAATCTACTAAATCATCATGATTGGAGGACTGAAATTTTCTGTTTTCCCTCACAAGGATAACCCTATATCTATTGCTAAAATATATTTTTGAGTAATTATTCACTAAAAGAATGATTGTGATATCGTCTTTCTTTATTACTCCCATTTTCATGTAATTTAATACGATTTGTGTGTCTGTGAAATTGAATGGAAAAGGTTAGCCAAAGGTTAATGGTGCAAGGGTATTCAGGCCATGCCAGCTACAACGGGGGCTTAGATGTCGTTAGGAAAGTATTGAAATCTGAAGGGGTTCGTGGATTGTATAGAGGATTTGGTCTCTCTATTTTAACCTATTCCCCATCAAGTGCAGTATGGTGGGCTAGCTATGGTTCTAGCCAGCGCTTCATTTGGAGGTAACTCGTGCCAGAAGTTCATTTCCATTTCTTATGCATTTTCATAATTTCGATAAATTGTAGTATCATATTCCTTTAAAAATTCCCTTTTATTGATAGAGCAAAGTATTGGTGGTGGTGGAAAAATTCATATCATTGCTTTAACACATGTTTGACAGTCTCTTAGGGCATGGGACTGAGAAGGGTCAACCTGCTCCTAGCCAGGGAAGGATAGTGTCAGTTCAAGCTGCTGGTGGAATTATTGCAGGTGTTACGGCATCTTGTATCACTACTCCACTGGACACCATTAAAACACGTTTACAGGTATCAATCAACTAATCATGCTATTCTAAGTCTTGTTTCACTGAATAACAGGTGTCAACATTGCTAGACTTAAAACCATAGACTATTTGTTGAGTGCAGATAGCACCTCTGTGCAAGAAAAAGCTGAATGAACATAGTGTTTTGTGAGCCCTCATCTTCTCATATCACACTTTTTTCCCGCGTGCTAAGGGCATTGTAACCATTGCTAACAGGGTTAGAAGAGTCCTTTTAACAATGTCTCTAGTTTTGGGTAAAAAATGAACTAAATCAAATTGACACATATAACTTCCTTTGCTTTTGCTTCTTACTTTCCAAGAAGTTTTGGGCAGTCAATGCAGCAATGAATTCTAACGGGGACCTCTATTTACTGGGATACGGTTGCTTACATCTTGACCCCCTAGATCGAACAAAGTTGGGATTATATTGGGTTTATTGTTGTTGTGGACTAATGGCATGTTTGGAACGCTGAAAATATTAGGGAAATAAAATAGGAAGGGAAACATAGTTGAAATTATGAAGGAAAAGAAAAGGTATATGGAAACTGAATAAATTTATTTTGGATATTTGTTGATAGTTGTTTCATTTGTTTATTTCTATTATATAGAGATATAATGACTAAGAAATCTAAAAATGTGTTGATACTTGTTTTATTTACCCCGATTACTATTTGTTTGTTTCAGTTATATAGAAATATACTCCCTCTGATCTCGTCCCAAAAGAAAGCCACACTTTCCTTTTTCAGCTATCCCAAAATAAACCTCGCACTTCTTCGCATCATTTTTCTTACTTCTAAACAAACTCCAACCGCACTTTTCGATATTCAACATGTTTCTTGAACAGTACAAAGTCAAAGTGCAACTTTCTTTTGGGAGTAATGCCTAAGAAGTCTAAATAAATGCAAGTACAATTTCTTAGTATGAGAATAAGAGACCTAATGCAGGTGATGGGGCATGAGGTTAAGAGACCTAATGCAAGACAAGTAGTTAAACATTTGATTGCAGAAGAGGGCTGGACTGGACTTTACAGAGGCCTTGGCCCAAGATTTGTCAGCATGTCGGCCTGGGGTACCTCTATGATACTCGCCTATGAATATCTCAGTAAGCCCTCTTCCCCCTCCATTCTCATGGTGATCTAAATTGTTTCCTTTTTCTCTACTCTTCCATTATTGCAGCTAAAATGGTATATAGGACTCCATAGTTTTAAGTATTAACCGACGAGCGATTGGCTTGCTTTGATGTAGAACGTTTATGCGCAAAGGAGTGATGAGGTTCAAGGACAACACAGTACTTTGCCTTGATTGTGGGTCCCATCTTTGGAGCCGGAAAACACACGGTCAGAGGTATTTGTGAAATGCTTTATTTGGTTCCTTCATATATTCTTTTTCCCAAGTCAGTTGACAGTCGTCTGTTGTTTGTCTTGGAAGAATCTATTGGTTTTTTTTTTTAAATGCTTGGGAAATGCATATGACAAGTCATTTGACTTTCCACAACACATCTGCAATATAAAATTTTGTAAATTGCTATTTGTTGCATTGTTACTTTGTTAGTTCACAAAATGGGAATTTTAGGCATTTGAGATAAGGTCTTCTTCTGCTTATTTTCATCAACCATTTGAGATATCTTTCTGAACATATGTATGCTTCTATTTATACAGTAAATATGAAAATGGAAAATTGATTCCGGATGCACACAAACCTAAAAGACTAATATGCTTTTAAGACTAATATGCTTTTAAGTTTTTAATTGAGGCTTAAAAAAGGAGTCGATAATAAAGCTTCATATTCCCTCCGTCTCACAAAAAAGTTCCCATTTTGAATAGTATTTAGTCAAATATTTACACGCTTTGACTGCAAATTGTAAGAATTGTATATTGAATTATGAAATAAATTTAATATAATTGGATTCATCTTAGGATCTAGTTTTGATATCTCAAATTTTTTTAGCATTTCTTTATTTAGATTATATTTAATTTATGGTCAAAGCGTGTAACTGTTTGACCAATTTATGGTCAAAATGGGAACTTTTTTGTGGGACGGAGAGAGTATTATTTTAGACTAATAAAGCTTCATAAAAAATCAATTTACTCTCCTTATTTACTCCCTTCGTCTAGGGGTAGACACGGGCCGGTTCCGAAACCGTTGAAAAAAGGGACTGCCCCTGAGACCAGTGGTAGGCGGTACGAGTACCGGTTTTGGAACTTTTTTTTGTTAAATTGAATTTTTGGTGTAAAAATAATACGGAGTAAGTACTTATCTAAATGTAGTTATTTGTAAAATAGCTAATCTAAATGTAGTATAAATGTCTAACAAAGTTTAAATGAAAATAAATTTAAAACCGGTTGTGGAACCGGATCCGGTATTGCCTCGGAAGGTTCCGGTTCTCCCAAACCGCTCCAAAGATTATGCTTCCAGTTCTTGAACTGCCGGTTCTGGTACCGTTTTGAAACTATATTCAGGTCTACCTCCGTGCCTAAAAAAATGTCTTGGGTTAACTTTAACGAAGTCTAAGAAAAAAATTTAAATTGCATTGTGGAGATTTATGAAGATGAGAGAAAAATAATGTGAATCAGTCATTTCTTTCCTTAAATAGAACAAAACATTGGTTTTGGAATATCCAAACAGTATTAATTTTTGAGGATGAGCATATTTTTTAAAACTCTAATTCTAAGCAAAATGTAACATTTTGGATAGAGTGTACCCTGCACCATGGGTGCATATATACATTTTCAGATAAGAAGAAAAATAAATCAAATGCCAATCTCATGATTTGAGAAATGGAGCTTCTATGGAGGTGTTCAATTAATTTTTTTTGTGGAAAAAAAGGGAGATTTTATTTGACCATTTAACCATTTCAGAAATGGGAATTAATGCATTTGACAATATAAACACCCCATGTGCATCTGCTATGGCATCAAAGCTTTGACACACACAGTGAAATTTGTAGAGACCAGAGGAGTAGTAAGGTATCATAATATGACACCGGAGTCCAACACTGCTCGTCGTAGAAATACTTCAGTGTCATAAACCGGTGTCAGCAATAGGCAGTTGGGAGAATAATGAGGCTGTGGCTGTCACTGAACACTCTTATTTATTACTCGGTTTCATTCAAAGAAACAGATAATCTGTCACTTATTATGTACCTTCCTTAATTTAATTTGTACCCACCCATTATATATATATATTGAAGTACTAAAAATAAAAGAGAGAGAAAAAAAAAAGAAGAAATCATCACCACAACTGAGTGAATATGTCACATTATTACCACACCACCATTCTCCTCCTCTTCCTCCTCACCGCCGCCGCCACGGCCGCCGGTGCAAGTAGTAGCAACAGCAAGTACCACTACTACGTCCACCGCTCTAGCGGCGGCGGAGAGGAATTGTTCGACGGGATGGCAGCGGATTCCGGCTCGCCTTCCCCTTCGCCGGCCCCTTTCGGCTCTCCGCCGGCGGACCCGTCCGTCTCCCCGCCGCCGGAGGATAATAACTCGAACTGGAGTCCGGACAAATACCAGAGGATTGTGTACAGAGGGCTGCAGACGGCGCCGGCGTGCAATGCGCTCCGGTACGGCAGCTGCCTCGGCCAGGCTCTCAATGTCCAGAAGAAATGCGACTACTTGAACCGCTCTTGCATTCGCTGATTCATATGGTCACCATTTTCTTTACCCCCCACAAAAAAAAAAAAAATGTTTCTTTTAATTGGATTAATATATCTCTTTTAATCCTCTCCCAATTGTAGCTTTTATTTTGTTACATTTTGTCATCTTATTTTTAAAATCTAAGTATAATATCACGTGTAGCTTTATATTCATCTTCTTTGATTTATCTCTCTCTGTATCTCTCTTTAGTAATTTTAAGTTTAAGAACATCATACGCATTTTACAAACGTATTGCGGATTTTGTTTGAGGAAAAATAACTATTTATCCCATGCCAATTAGTACTTCAAGTCCCGTGTATTTGTTTAGCTTGCTTTTTTACTGTTAGACAAATTTTTTTACAAACGTACTGCTAAGATGCCCCATTCGTAAAATTGACGGTTTGTACCGTCTAATCTCCGGTAAACCCCCACTCTGCCCTGATCCGAACACACCCCCAAGTTGATTATGACTTTAATTTGGAGTCAAAATTGACTCCAAAGTCAAAATAAATTTGGGGGTGCAAGGGTGTGTTCGGGTCAGAGCAGGGTGAGAGGTTTATCTGGAGGATTAGGGGTAGAAACCACCAATTTTATGAATGGAGCACCATAGCAACTCCGGGTCACCAATTTTATGAATGGAGCACCATAGCAACTCCGGATCATCTCATGACATAGGAGTGACACTCTTTTTGTGTTATAAATAGGAGTTTATACTATCATTCCCACATAGCACACTGCTCCAGTACCATCGGAGTACCGTTTGTCGCTAGAGTTCAATCGCTGGTTGCCGACATTGACTGGTGATCCACCACCACACTACCACTATCACATTGCCACCATTTATACTGTTAGTTTGTTATATGAGCATTACATTGCCACCTTTCATGCTGTCAAACTCATATTCGGAGGATAAAAATAATATCACAACTATTTTGGTATTTTGATGGTATTTTACTCCTATTAAAGGACATTTTTATTCCACAAATGGTTCTCTATAACAGAGGTACTCAATATTTAATAATTATTCCATAATCAGTCATTCCACTCAAATATTTTTTTCTAAATATAATCTCAAAAGATTAATTATGAAATAGTTTTCAGATATCGAGAATTACGAATAAAATTTCTTAGAATTAAGAGCTATATGCCCAAGAAACACTATGTTTTAATGACGGTTTATGAAATTTATTCAACAAAAAAAGATAGGTGGGAATCCCATATCTTACTACGCCTTTTTGACGTTATAGTGCCTCATAGATATATGCACAAACAATAATTGTGTGTGTAAATTGTATGTGTAAATTGTATGTGATCAAGACACTATATATGACATCAAAATTGGTGTCAAATGTAGAGTATTCTAGTAGCTAGAGGTAGAGAAGGCACCATTGAATGTCGTTTTTTTTTTCTTTTTTTGTGTTCTGATCTATTTATGCACTCCACATCCACACAAAAAATAGGTGTGCTTTTGTGTTGGATATACTTGCTTTCTCCCATACATTGTACTCTGAAAAACATTTCCTTCTCTTTTTCTTTTATGTAAAAAAAGTTACTTCCTCCGCCCCAAAATGTTTGCTTCATTTGTTTTTTGAACAATCACGAGAATCTTTATTTATTTGTACGTTTTCATTGATTATTTGATAAAATAAAATATTCTTAACACCTATTACTCCGTATTTTGAAGAACTTTTCATGTAATTTTTAAATATGTAAGTTTTATTTTTTATTTCTATACCAATATTAAAATAAAATAAATTGAAAAAACTTGATATTTTGTACTAGATTTCACGATACTAAAATTGTCATAGTTCGACGGCAAGGTGTGTCCAGTTTGTTTGATGTTATTTCTGTCTCATATTAAAATTTTACATTTCTCCAGACGCTTTTATTAACAAAAATGAAATTACATGGTTGAAATTTATACAGAGAAAAAAAATGATGTAAATGATATAATCATTTTGATACCTTATTTTAAGACATGCGGAGTACTAAAAATTGTCAAACCTTTTTTTCAAATGAAATATATTACTACCTCCGTCCCTGAGTATTTGTCCAGTTTTGACTTTTTCGGCCAACTATTTTTAACCTTTGACATATAATTAAATAAAATATATATTGTATATTAATTAGATAAAATAGTATTTAGAAAATATTAGATATAATAAATTTAATAAAATCGTTTTTTATCAATATCTGATACCATTTTTATTTAATTTGAGGTCAAAATTTACTAATTTTGACCGAAAAAAGTCAAAAGTGGACAAATACTCAGGGACGGAGGAAGTACGTATTAGACTCTCCCTTTATTCCAATAAATTACTTATTCGTTTGATAAAATAATTGAGTACTATAATCATATGATGTCTTATTTAATTTTATGTTATAATTTAGATAAAGTTCAAAAATATGTACTATCTTCGTTGTTGAGTATTTGACTAGTTTTGATTTTTTCGGACAACTATTTTCAACATTTGACCTATAACTAAATAAAATATATATTTTACACTAATTAGATAAAATAATATTTTGAGAATATTTATAATAAATCTAATAAAACTATTTTTGCATCAATGTCTAATATTATTTTTATTTATTTTCAGATCAAAGTTTACCAAATTTGACTGAATAGAATCAAAATTGGACAAGTACTCAGAGACGGAGCTAGTAAAGCTTAGTACTCCCTCCGTCCAAAAAATTATCTTTCCGTTGCGCGTTATGATGTTAGACTGAAGTTATTTTCAAATCATTTTATATGAAAAATGGTGTGAAATTAAAAAATAAAAATTACGGAGTATATATTAAAAAAGTACATAAAAAGATCTACAAAACTAGAAGTGACATGACTACATTATTTTACTTTTAATTCAATCTCAATGTTTAAATAAATTAGAAAAAATAATGTTCTATCAAACATTATAAACTATAATAGTCAATTTAATTTGAGACAGAAACACTATACTAGGAAAGAGATTATTTTGATACCATGTTGAGCAAATTTCACTGAGGGTTTGTTTGGTTGGAGGGAAGTGGAGGAGAGGTAATCAAAACCCTTCCCTTTGTTTGGTTTAAAAAAATGGTGGGAAAGAGACCCAAAATTTTAGCTTCAAGTTCCTCTCATCCCCTCCAAATCAATCCTTTCGAATCAGACAAAATCTCTTTTCCTCTTGTATGAATATATAACCTCATTTTTATTTAATTTCAAATCAAAGTTTATCAAGTTTGACTGGAAAAAAATCAAAACTAAACAAGTACTAATTTGACCAAAAAAAATTAAAAATGAACAAGTACTCATATACAAAAAGAGTAAATCTTAGCACTATGTAACTTTTAATTCAAACTCAATTTTTGAATAAATTAAAATGAAATAAACTTCAATCAAACATAATAAACTAAAGCAATCAATTTAATTTGAGGCAGACACACTAGGAAAGAGAGTGTGTCGATACCATGTTGAGCAAATTTCACTAAAAAAGCTTCAAACAATTCATACTTTTCAAAAATGCAGAGATGAAAAAAAAATGCCAATGCATGGAATTAGATTGCTGTTATCAAAGACAAAAAATACAAAAACATTCTGCGTGAGAGTTTTCCACATTTCAGATTTTTTAGATGAATTACAGAGTACGGCTAGAATAAGACACCATTTACTAGTACATTGGCAGGGCATTCATCCCAAGTTTTAAGAAAAACTTTGAGCTACATTTAAAACAAAAACTAAAGAAACCAAACCAATTTTTTTTTTTTAACGAATCATTGCCCCTTGCATAGCTTGGGAACCATCGTCGACTATCTTGTTTGCTTGAATGGTGCTGAGAAGATTGGCAATATTTCCCTGCAAAAGAAAACATCATCACAAGTTAAACTTTGGCCACTTTTTTTAAGGTAGTGTTTGGCAACTAGCATTTCATTTCAATTCATGCATTTCAATTCCAAAATTTGAAATTCAGAATTTCAAATGACAAGGGGAGGTGCATGGATTTCAAATTAAGCTTTGTTTTGAATATAAAGAATTTGATTCAAATCCAAATTTAAAATGCTTAAGTTTCCCAAACATGGAATTTAGGCCAAATCCGGATTTGAAATCCAAATCCATGTTCCCAAACATACCATAAATGTATTTTCACTACCCCATTTGATAAGTCTTGTGACATCGTGCTTTGTAGAATTTTTTTATATTTTTTTAAAAAATATATTTTATTTTTTAATTCTATACTCCGTATCAGTTATTATATAAATTGAATTGAATATACTATGAGGCAAGCATCATAGCCCACAATAGGAAGATCTTTCTAAGGCGAAGGGAGTATATAAAATGGCACCATCTTGTTGTATCTATTTAGGTAAAACATAGATAATATGGAACTAAGAATAAACAACAATGAAATATTATAGAACTAGGGATCTGTTTCCAATATATTTTACCATGAATTATGTTGTGATTTTTTCATTTTCTTGTGTGGCAAAGAAATCTCCATGAAAACAAATTCATCAGTTTGGTGATGGGAAATATTTCCTTTGATACTTTAAACTTGAGGAACATGTGTTATATATTGAACAAATTAGCAAATATTTTCACAAATACCATCTTCATGAGAAACAGTATCAGAATAAAAACAATTTCTTTATTGAAACTTCCTGGAACACATTTTGTGCACTTTATTTCTCCAAAACAAGCAGAGAATAAGAAAAAGATGATTATTTACCTTCCATGTCTCAAGCTTTGTTTGGAGAGCTTTCCATTGTTTTGGGCCAAAGACACGCTCAACCGCATAGCTGCAAAATCCAAATTAGTTACGCATATCATCCAAAAGAATGGGTCTAAAACAACACCCATGATACTCATGTAGGGACAAAGGTGGAGAAACTAAAAGTATACCTCACAATTACAACTTGATTCATTTGATCAATTTTACAATTGAATAACTTTGCAGTGATTGCCTTAACAACCCATGACTCGACCTCATTAACATCAATCTGAAGCCATTAAATGCACCAACTTGATCAACAATTACTAAGACAAAATAACATTTGAAAGTATGTGTCTAGCCGCATGCCACAGAAGGAAGATAATGCTAAACCATTACATAAAGATTTTACCTGAAGAACATCCTTGATCACAGAATAAGGAATTCGGTCAGATTCTTTGGAGCCCAGGTCCACCAATGACAATAACCTCATCTTTGTAATGCAATCTTCATGGACTAGTCCTATACATTTTTTCAAAGGTATAAGTCAAGAAAAAAAAAATCATGTGCCCAGCACATACGAATTGATGAATCTATAAGTCTAGAGCTCGTGTATTAATAGAGCAAAGAGCTACCATATGTTTTCAGTAAAGTAGAATTTGATGCTTCAAAAGCCATATATGCATCTAGCCTTTGAGTCAGAAAGATCTTAAGAAGTTGATACACTGGTGCATAAATGGCATCTTTCTCCAATTGTGCCACAGCAGGCATATCAAGCAAATCACACTGACATACAGATATAAAACAACCCAAACTCAGCCAAACAATGCAAAAAGAATATTACCAATCAAACAATTGCATATCCACCAGAGGAAGGAACGAAGAGTGGGGAAGGTTTTAGTTCCCCCATAATGAAAAACCAAATTGGGGGGACGAGGAGAATACGGGGAGGGAGAGTTTTGGCTCAGCCAAAATGGGATGGAGTGATAATTTCCCTTGCCCTCTCATACCATCAAACCAAAGAAGTTCTCAAGGTTTAGTTAGACACACTGATACCTGAAACATATCAGGCAATTTGACAAATTCAATAATAGTGTTGACAGCAGCACTCTTGGCTTCATTCATAGTCTGTGTGTCATCACCAGAAAAGGTTGCCAGATACCTTGTAAGAAACTTGAAAGACTCTTTGGTGTGCCTATTAAATACAATGGAGGTATTACACTAGAGATTAGATTAACTTCTAGTATCAAACGGCAATAAGTGAAAATTCATGTCTGCAGCTCATCCATCTCACCCTTTGTGCTCTTTCAATATATTAGAAATGGCAAGAAAAAGCTCCCTCTGATCCTTCACCCCAATATTCCATTCCTTCAAAAAGTTGTCCATCTTTTTAAATGATGGCAGAACATGTTCAGTGACCTTTGCATTGGTTGCCAAATTTAGTGCCTTCATGTATACAATGAAGCGGCTATACGGGTTGTCGAGAAGATTGTAGAGGTTGAACAAGCTAAAAGCATTGAAACGACAAGCACAATAAGATAGATAAAGTAACAACGTATTGTTGCCATAGGAAAAATGATCAACATTAGAAAGCTCTACATTTTTAAGCGCAACAAAGGTTTTTCATTTGGTTGCTGCACGATTTTTGATGATATAAGCTCAGCTATCTCATGCACTTGATCCAGACTCTCAGGCTTCTTCACGATGTTGGAAATTATAGTGAAAATGCACTCGAGATCTGAAAAACCCAGTTAATGAATTGCATTACAATAAAAAGAACATGTTACTCAATAGAGGGGGTTGAATAAAAATGATAAGAAGTACTGCATAATAAATAAATTAAAAAATAATAAAATAAGTAAATAATCATCTGGATGCAGAAAGTTTTGGAGAAAACCCCCCATCTAGAATCTACTTCAAATCCTAAAAACTGCATACAGTTACATAATAAATTAGCCCTTACGAAGAACTTCAATGGAAGCATGATTTCTTTTGGGATGATTTAACAACCATCAAAACATATTGATTATGAGTACAAAATAACTTATACCGAGTAGTTGCTATTAACAGAGCAATAAAAAACAATTTTTCCCAATTCACATTAAAAACAAAACTTAAACACTCTGCATTACAATTACAGAACCTTCAAATTAGCTGAAGTACTAATGGTCTATATTGCAAAAACTTCAAATAAGTGCAGCCCTCCGTCCCCAAACAAGGCAAACATCACCATTTGGGTACTTGGGGACGTGCCCACACTCAAATCCTTTATAAAAGTTGGTGTTTCCCTGTTCTAGTCCAAGACTGGCAGACCCTATACGAGTACTGGTCCAATCTCTGTGCAACTTGGTCAAAGGTCCACAGATAAGTTTTACTACCTCCGTCCCAATTTATTTGCAACACTTCGAACGACGTGCAAAATATCACCTCTTTTAAAATCACTTTAATTTCAAATTGGTAGAGTAATAAAAAGTAAAAATTACATCATTCAAAAGTATATGAAAAGTTTTACAAAACAAGATGCGACAAGAATATTTTATTTTATCAAATGGTCAACCAAAACGAGTAAACAAACAAAAGTTATCGAGAGACCGGAATAGTAAACGTGGCATTCTTTCTGGGACGGAGGGAGTAGTAAAAGTTTATGCATTACTAACTAATGCCATACCTTTCTCCGAAGCTTTAGCAAATACCAAGTCTGCAGATGTAAGCATCAGAGAAACCAAATCCAGCCACCTGCCACCTATCATGCATTCCTGTGCTTCTATACACAGTCGACTAACCTGAGGCTCCGCTACCTACCAAGTACACCTCAATTTAGCTCAAATCCATACATAAGCTAAGTTATCATTGATCCATCATCACTGAGATGAAATTCTTTCGCAATTACAAAACTTTAACACTTTAAACAACCAGACGGACATACATGCACTCAGAATCGATTGAATGGAACATTTCAAAATCAAATCAGAAGAAAAGTAGAGGGAGGAAATGAAAGCGTTAGTACCTCTGGGCCGGCGTCCGCCCATGACATCTCGGCGGTGAAACGGACAACGGCAAGCGCTGGATCTTCCTCGGAGGTTGGAACAACGGTCGTCATGGCTGCGGGGTCTGAACCCTGTCGACTTCCTTCGTCGCCGCCGCCGTCGATTTGGTGAACGTTACTTGAGACAGGAAACCCCAAAGCTAATCGGTGGCAGATGCCTGTTGAGTGAAGAAGCGGCTGTAGAGCTGAAAAGGGTTTCTGCACTCCACGATTAATAATATGGGCTGGGCCTGATTGGATTATTGGGGCTTAAATTTTGAACAATCTGGTTTATAATATTCGTAGTTTTTTAGATACGTACTACCTCCGTCCCATTTTATAACGCTGTTTCGGTTTACGATGTTTGAGTGAAATTATTTTCAAACCATTTTATATGACAAATGGTATAGAATTAAAAAATAAAAATTACATATTAAAAAACTACATCAAAAGATCTACAAAACTAGTAGTAACAATAATATTTTATTTTATCAAATTGCTAACGAAAATAGAGAAAGAAAATGAATGAAGTTTGACTCTGTGAATAGTAAACAGACATTATAATTTGGGACGGAGGGAGTATATTTTTTACATTCTGTTTGGTTTGTAAAATTCAAAACGATTTAAAAGAAAGAGAATTTCTCCTATTTTCCTCATTAAATTTGTTTTTTCTTTTCTTAGCTTGTTTTTATTTCTTAGCTTGTTCCATTCATATCTTTCTATGTAACAATGATAGTTCATGTTGTTAAAATTTGAAAAATCCTTTGCAAGAGAACTGTGATTCTTCGCCTTCTTCGATCCCATGCTTACCCATGGTGTCTTGAGTCCCGATTGAAGAGATTAAGGGTCTATTTGGGAATAACGTTAGAGATTAGCATTAGCATTTTGAAAAGGTTATCAACGGGCAACATTTAGCATTAACGTTTTAATTTCAAAATATTCTACACCGTTAAAATTTTATCCAAAATGCTAGCGTTAATATCTAGCGCTATTACCAAACAAACTCTAAGCTTAGAAGGTATGGGTGGGTTCAAATCAGCACAATGACCTGAAATCAAGTTCAAGTATTTTAGTGAAAGGAATTGAAGTTAAGTATCAATTCGAAATTTTTAGAAAATTTAAGTATTCATTCTTTGTATAATTTACTGAGGTGGTTTTTGGTATATTGTTCATTAAAACTGTATTGTTTGCTTTGAACTACAATGATCCACCACTTTCCTTTTCCAAACATTTCTTTAAAGGTATGGCTCTATAAACCAAATTTAGTGCTTTCAAATTTAGTGCTTTCAGTATTTTTCGAGACTGAAAAAATCATTTTTAAAAAATCATAAACCATATTAAATTAAAAATAACTTTAATCAAATATAATAAACCAAATAAAAAAAGTATTACATACTCCATCCATCTCACAAAATGTTTTCCTTTCTTTTTTCACTTATCTCAAAAAACTTCTCCGTTTTGATTAAAAAATTACTTTTACTCATATTAATTTTTAACTTATTTATCGCATTACATATGTTCACTATTAATCTACCCAACGCATCCAATGACATACGAATAATTTGAGTAATAGGATGAATAAGCTTTACACAATACACACACGTATGCATATTATATATATATATATATATATATATATATATATATATATATATATATATATATATATATATATATATATATAAAATAAACTAGCTTGATCATCAATGAATCATTGAGATCTGCACCAAAGTTTTGTGGAGTGCTTGTGGCTTAGAGAAGAAAGGGGAGTGGTCTGAGCCCTTGAGATGGAACACTTTTTCTACTCCGCTCTCATCATCAACGATCATTCTTCGTTGCAAAGCGACTGGAATGGCATTATCTTCAGCGGTTTCAATATAGAATCGTCTGATTGAGCCGTAGTTTAGTTCTGACAACACCACCTTCTCCAGCACAGGCGCAAAGGGCATCGGCCTCATCAGCGCACATGCTAAAGCTACATCCTGCATATCATCACATGATATTTAAATTAAATTTGTCGATCGTAATAAGCTCGTTTCATTCGCTTCATTTTTTCATATACATTGTCATGAGGTAATAAAAAAGAAATGTACCTTGGCAGGACTGTGGTTGAATAGTAAGTCCCTGATGAGCGATTTGTTGAGGTCAATGGAAGTTGGGGGATTTTCATTTCCATTAGCATAAATAAATAGTTGAGCCTGGTGCATCAATTCTTTTGTATCTGTCTGCAACAATAATGTTTACGGAGTACAATACAAATAGTTTATTTAGCTGATTAGTACAAATTGTACATAAAAAAGCATATATTTCATAAATGATCTCTAATTACAATTACATGTGGTTTCTCATTTTTAATCCTTAACTCTAAGATATTACATAAATCTAAGATATTACATAAATGCTTCTCAAATTTTTGAATATCATTCCATAATGATCCTTCAAAGACTACTTATGGAATTTTTTGTGTCATATTTGGCGTACAAAACTATTTATGGACTGATTTTTAAAAATTGATGCCTATTTATGAACTCTATAATATCTTATAATTAAGCACTAGCTATGATAATGATTTGTAACTAGAGATCATTTATGAAATTTAAGAATAAAATGCATGTACTAAAAAACAAAACACACACAATGTGAGAGAAGATATCAAGGGTACTCTGGCCATTGCTCAACATAGTTGCTGCTATGAAAACAGCTTTTGACACCTTAGCTGGGAAATGCTCCATTGCATATGATATGCAAGCTCCACCAAAATCATGTCCCACTAGTATCACCTGTGTTTTTCAAACCCAAGACAAAAAAACCAATTTGACCAAAAATTCAACCTTCTTGTCAAAAAACATAGAACGTAGTATTCCCTCCATCCCATAAAAATATGAACATATTGACTAAAATGATAAAATGAGAGAGATTATTTTGTGTTGATTTTCCAAATATAGTACTTCCTCCGTATTTAATAGCTAGTACTTCCTCCGTTCTAAAAAACATTTCATCTTTCATTGCTTTTTCACTTCCAACAAAACACTTTCACTTTTTATTAAAAAACCATTTTTACCCTTACTTTTCTATACACTATCTATCACATCATACTTTTTCTTTAAAAATCTATCCATCACATCAAGGACAAAAATGGAAGTCAACTACGGAGTACAATTTAACACTTCTTTATTTTTACATTTGGTCAAATTAGGAACTTTTTTTTTGGAACAGAGGGAGTGATATAGAATTAAGTACCTTTTCTCCATCGACAAGAGTTTGGAGAAAATCAGTGAGTGGCTTGACGTAGTGGGAGAGGCTGGTTATGTTGTTTGTGTCGAAAGAATCGACGCCGGAACCGGTTAAATCCACCGCCGTGGCTTTATAACCGCTTCCTTCAAGAAGTGCTATGGTTTTATACCAGCACCATGCCCCAAAACCGCCGCCGTGAACCAGGACAAAATGGGAGGTCTCTACGTCGTCCAGCTTTATGTCCCGGAAAAAAAATAAAATTGAAAATAATTATTAGTTACACGGTTTTATGTGTTAAATCATTCCAAATTGGCCAAATATAAAGACTTTATAGGCTTTGTTTGGAAAGATTGTTGGGAGAAAGATTAAAGTAAAACTAAAACATTGAAAATATACCAAAATAGGACTTCCATGTTTTTATTTCCGAAATAGGACTTACATTACCAAACATGATCATGTACATTACCAATGTGCACGTGTATACTGCCATATTACCACAGTGCAAAGTCACATTACCACAGTCCAAAGTTTTATTTCGGAAAAAACATAAAAGTTCTATTTTGATACTTTTCTCTATGTTTTAGTCCTATTTAGGTGATTTCTGAAGATTGTTCTCAGTTAGAACTATTAGTGTTTTTAAATAACCACACATCAAAATAGCTAAACGCTCCAAACATGCACATAATTGAAACCCTATACAATTATTTTTTGCTCTGTAATTGAATTTCAAGTTCGGACATCAGTCGATCGATCAAATTCTTCATCACTCTTCATCAATCTATAATCTCTTCATCATATTTTAATAAGCGCTTGATTAATGCACCCCTAAATATATCTTGTACAATGGAACCATTGGTATAGTATTTTTAAATGTTGAGAAATCCTTGGTACAATGTTTAAAGCTAAGAATATGTAAAACAAATTAATTTCCAAGCATTGTATACACTTCTTATAGGGTAGTACATTAACGTCCTTCAAATTAAGGATCCCAACACTTTGATCGCAATGCTTAATGCAATGCATTAAAAAAAACCTAGATGATCCAAACAAAATAAAATCAAACATGTTTTTTAATCCCTATTTCTTTAAATTTGAAGATATTTATAAGTGAATTTATATTCAATCAAACAGAATAGCTAGAATGTATGCAAAATGAATTGAAGAGCAATATATATATATATATATGGATTGAAAACCTTATTAAGCGGCGGGCAAGAGTGGAGGAGAGGATCAGTTAGAGAGCGATCTCTCGAGCTCGAGCTCCGGGAAGACGGCGTCTTCTTTCCCGCCTTCGCGGCTGCCGGATAACGGAGCGACGATGTATGCCGCTCCAGCGCTGCCGCCAGCGCCGCCCCGTCCTCCCCGCACCCGCTGTTGTTCTGCATCTGCTGCCGGAACAGTATGGCGGCGGCCAGCGGCGTCGGGTCGTGAATGACCACCGTCTCCTCATTCTTCGACGACCGTATCTTCCGCCACTGGTTGCTCCCCCCTCTTCCGAACAAGCCGCCGCCGCCGCCTCCGGTGGCGTCGGACGATGACGATTTGTGGCGAGCGATGCGCTTCGATGGCGGCTTCGAGGAAGCCGTCGACGTATTAGAATGACAAAGCCCCATTCCTGAACAACAGTAGCTAACTAATTAAGCTAGCTACGTGTGTGTATATATATATATATATATATATATATATATATAATACTCCATCCGTCCGGAAATGTTCTTCCCATTTGACTTTTCACGGTCTCCAATATTGCACTTTGACCATTAATATCTATATTTATGCATAGATATATTTTATAAAAATTTGATTTTTGAAAACTACGTTTCATTATGAATATATTGATATTAAATTTACATCATAATACAATGTGTTTTTTCCACAAATCATAGTCAAAGTTTATAAACTTTGACCAAGAAAAGTCAAATGTGAAGAAAATTTCCGGACGGAGGGAGTACTCCGTAATCCACATCACAATATTTTTGCCGGCCTTTATAATATAGTAGGGGCATTATCACCCCAATTTCTGCATGTTAATTAGCCTTAAAGGTAATGTAATGTCGGACGCGCCGAGTAATTAGTAATATAATTACCCCTAATTATTGTCAAAGTGTTAGAGCATGAACAATGGCAAGGGATACACTGGAATGCCACACGCTGACATGGCACTGTTGAGCCAATCAAAGTCAGTCTAGTCACACATCCTACAATGACATGTCATTATTTTTTCCTCTATTTACATTTTTTATATATTTTAACCACCCGGTTTTACTTTATGTTCTACTCGATACATTTAACTTTTGGTTTTTTTAAATTATAAATATTTTTAACTATTTTGTTTTAAAAATCTAAATTATACTCGGTATAATTTAATTATTCGAAATTAGTTTAGTTTTCTATTTGAAATTAAAAATAGAGTACAAATAATTTTTGCAAAATGCAAAGTGAAGGACTTTTGCTGCTCATTTTCTACTCCGTATTTGAATATATGGAAATTTAAAATAGAATACAAATTAAAACTAGAGTACAAATTAAAAATAGAGAAAGCAAATTAAAGTAGTGGAAGAGTGCTTTTTTTTTTACGGTGGAAGCAAATAAAAGGATTGGAAGAGTGCTATCTTCGCCGCTTCTTGCCTCGCACTCGCCACGGAAATTAGAGTGGCACGCCACTTGCCATGCAATCCAATTTTTACTTCGCCCATTGTACTGATTTCCTCTCCATGAGTGGCAGTGTGTGGCAAGGTAAACCCCACCACTGCCAATGCTCTTAAGTATCTATAAATTAAAGTTCATATTTATTGTTGGATCCATAGATTTTTTCATAACTACATGAGAATTGAAGTCAAGAGAGTAATGACATCCTTGAACTTTAGTATTAGTACATTTAAATTTTATTGAAAAATGATAGTTAATTAATTATACACCCCCTAGCTTCTATATAAAAGAGTTTTCAGTTTAATTTTTCACGGACTTCATTGCAACATTTCGATCATTAATATCTTGATTTTTATATAGATATATATTATAAAATTATAATATTTCAAAATTAATCTATTAATATTAAGTTTATATGAAATTTTAATTTTTTTAATGATTTGTAGACGAAGTTTTAAAATTTGACTCAAAGAATTAAGTTTTAAAATTTTAATATTTTTTTCATGATTTATTTTATGAACGGAGGGTGGGAGTAACATTTATGAAGTCAAAAGGTAATTAGTACTCGTATAAGAAAGGGTCAAAAGTTCAATAGCATTTGAAATTAAGTTCGTAGACTTTTATGAGTGTTTTAAGATGAGATTCAAAGACCTTTATGAAACAATACAAATTCAACATTACTTTTTTTTTTGTGGAGTATTTTCGGGATAAAGCGTATCAAACATTTTATGTTTAACAAGAATTGGACAATTTTATATGCTTATGTACAATATTCTATAGGTATTTAATGGAAGTGTTTGATTTGTTATTTTACTAATATAATTTTTTCTTTTTTTATATAAATGTATTTTCAATTTTAAAAAATAAAGAGATTTGTTACATTTTTAAGTGTAAACTGAATATGTATATATTCATTTCAATTTGTACCAAAGTCGATACCAAATTATCCAAAACCATACCAAACTAATACTGTAGAATTAGGGTCGATGCAACGTAAAATTCCACACCGAACAAAAAAATTGAGTACGAAAATGCCACTCTAAAATGTTCATCCCTAATTATGCACCAAAGCCCACATTCGAAATACCAATGTATTGGGCCTCACTTCACATTCTACATACACAGCATGTTTGACCGAAGCCCACATTCGAATCCTCTCTGCAATTACAAGTACGGAGTCGTTGAAACTCTGGAAGGCGTATCGTCTTCTCGCCAGTCGTGTTTAATTATTTAATTAATTAATTGCGCACCAGATTTCCGTCGACTCTCCGCCTCCTCCGTCATTTCTATTCTACAGAAACGTCAAAGACCGGAAGAAACGAGAGAGCCGAGACTCGCTGCCTCCACCGCCGGACGCCGAGTCGCCGACCTGCACGCCTCCAGTCCCTCCACCCTCCAGGTAATTGTTCATAGCCTTTCCTTTCCAATTTTGTAATTTTATAATTCTTAAATCTTAATTTTCTTTCATTGTTTCATTTTTTAGATTTAAAATCTAGGGTTAATTATTAGTTTTTAATTTGAAATCTTTTCTAATTTCATTCTTTGAAATAGAATGAATGAGTGGTTCTATATGTTATTTATTTGTTTTGGATGAATTGATTTGAATTTGTTATTTATGATAATTATATATTTATATTAAAAAAACTGAAAACCAAAAAAAATTAAAAACTGATAAATTGATGAATTGATATGAATTTATGATTTATAAAAAAAATTAAAACTTAAAAAGAAAAAAAACAATTAAAAAAAGAAAAATTGACGAATTGATATTGATTTATGATATATTTATTTATTTATGATATATTTTTTCATTTATTTTTTTTCTTCTAATAATGTTGCGTTAATTATAATTTAAATATAATTAGTTTACATATCTTATTCTTTCCTCCCGAATCAGCATTCGATTTGCTATGTTTTCCCTTTTCATTTTTTCTATCAATTTAAATTTAGAAATTATTATATTTAATCAATATTGTATGTTACACTGAGAAAATTGTGTTTTTTTTGGACAGAACCTTTTTATTGCCTAGGAAAAATGAAATTATAGTGTAAGGGATACCAACATAATGATTGAATGTGGTTCAAAAAGACTCATTATAAGGATATTATCATCAAACCATATCATTTATTGCAGAGACGCAGGCGCGAAAAACTGAACATTTTAGTTCAATTTATATAGAGTTCACAAGCTGTTTTTACCACCCCATTCTTTGGATGGGGATAAATTTTAAAAAAGCTTGATTTTTGTATCTTGAAACTACAGAATAGGTGTCGTTATTGCTACAATAACTTTTTTTTGCAATGCTCTGCTCAAATTCCACTCTCAAATGTCCCGCTGCAAATTTAATTGGAACAAACAACAACGACGACCTGGTGGAGTCCCAAAAGTGAGGTCTGCGGAGGGTGGATGTATGCAAACCTTACCCCCATGACCCCATCTAAGAAAGTAGAGAGGTTGTTTCCGAAAGTCCCTTGACTCAAGAAAACATACAAACACATTATGAAACATTGGGAGATACTTTAGAGAAAAAAACCGTGCGACTCTTAGGGAAAGGAAAAACAAATGCTAAGAAATTTGTTTTCTTATGCTTCGCTTTACATAAAAAAAATTCAAATGGAAGTTTATCAAGTGTTTTAACAAATATTTAGATTTATTACATAGTGGAAAAAATCTTCAAAATAGATTTGAGCAAATATCTATGATACATTTTTTGAAACTATTCTTTATTTTCCCTCAATTTTTCTTTGCTTCCTATCCCTCCCTCCCAATTTTTCTCCATATCTTTTATTCCCTTGTATTCTCTTGTTTCCAAATGGACTTATTGGTCTCTCTTATTTCCATTATTATACGTGTTTTTTCTTGATAGGACAAATAGACAAGCAGAGAAGGAAATGAGTGTAGAAATTCAAGAGAATCAGCAGGAAAAGTGAATAAAGAGAACCAGAGAAATGAGCAAGAATAAGAAAAGAGGTCACAAAAGTAAAGCACAAGACATTGCTGCTGAACAAAGCACAAATGAGAATGGTACTGCTTGTTTGGAGGCCTGTAGCAACAAACAAAACTGTTCCGATGGTATTTCTACTGCAGAAGATACTCTGATCCAACCAGCCACAGATAGCTGCCAAAATGCTCTTCTTGAAGAAGAATCTCCTGCAAATTTGCTTACTCTTAAGCCTCAGGATTTAGCTTTGAGCCCAATAGAATGTCCTTTGGAAGAAAATATGCTTGGGAAGAAGAAGAAAAAGAAAAGAAGTAAAAAGATTTGTACTAAGACCGGCACTAATCTAGAGGTTGTTCCCCATGAAGCAGAGTCATGTGCACACTGGCTACCTTCAGAGCATCAAGAGCTACATACGAACAATGAGGCAAACACTTTTAACAGAAAACAGAAGACGAAGAAAAATGATCTAAATATACCCACAAGTGGTGATGTTGATGCCAACATTACTGCACTACGACCTGGTCGACCCCTTGTACTTGAGGTAGAATCTGCTGCAAATTTGCTTTCTCTTAACGGTCAGGAGTTAGTTTTGAACGCATTGGGTAATCGTTCCAAAGAAAATATGTCTGGGGAAAAGAAGAAAGATAAAAAAAGTCAACATATTTGTACTGAAGCCATGACGAGTCCAGAGGTTGTTCCTTCTAAAGCAGAGTCATCTGTACGATTGCCAGCTCCAGAGCTTCAAGATGATATGAACATTGAGGTAAACACTTCTAAAGGAAAACAGGAGAAGAGGAAGAAAAGCAAACTAAATATACCCACAAGTGATGCTGTTGGTGTGGACACTACTGCACAACACTCACTTTTGCACGAGGTAGAATCTGCTGCAGTTATGTTTTCTCCAAAACCACAGGACATAGATTTGAACCCATTGGAAAAAAATTTGGAAAAAAACATGTCTGGGAAAAAGAAGAGGAAGAAGAAAAGAAGTGGAAAAGTTTCAACTGAAGCTATCCCTGACTCAAAGGTAGTTCCACCTGAAGCAGAGGACTCTTTACAATTGCCAGCTTCAGGGCTTCAAGATCTAGATGCTGTTGGTGTGAACACTAGTGCACAACCACCACTATTGCTTGAGACAGAATCTGCTGCAGTTATGCCTTCTCTAAAACCGCAGGACATAGGTTCAAACCCAGTGGAAAACAATTTGGAAGAAAATATATCTGGGAAAAAGAAGAAGAAGAAGAAGAAGAAGAAAAGATGTGGAAAAATATCAACTGAAGCTATCCCTGACGCAGTAGTTCCATATGAAGCAGAGGACTCTTTACAATTGCCAGCTCCAGGGCTTCAAGATCTAGATGCTGTTGGTGTGAACACTACTGCACAACCACCGCTATTGCTTGAGATAGAATCTGCTGCAGTTATGCTTTCTCCAAAACCGCAGGACATAGATTCGAATCCAGTGGAAAAGAATTTGGAAGAAAATATGTCCGAGAAAAAGAAGAGGAAGAAGAAAAGAAGTGGAAAATTTTCAACTGAAGCTATCCTTGATGCAGACGCAGTTCCACCTGAAGCAGAGGACTCTTTACAATTGCCAGCTCCGGGGCTTCAAGATCTAGATGCTGTTGGTGTGAAAACTACTGCACAACCACCACTATTGCTTGAGATAGAATCTGCTGCAGTTATGCTTTCCCCAAAACCGCAGGACATAGATTCGAACCCAGTGGAAAACAATTTGGAAGGAATTATGTCCGGGAAAAAGAAGAGGAAGAAGAAAAGAAGTGGAAAATTTTCAACTGAAGCTATTCCTGACGCAGTAGTAGTTCCACCTGAAGCAGCAGACTCTTTACAATTGCCTACTCCGGGGCTTCAAGATCTAGATATGATGATTGAAGCAAACACTTCCAACAGAAAACACATGGGGAAGAAAAGCAAACTGAATTTACCCCCAAGTGATATTGATGTGGACACTGGTTTTGCACAACCACTTGCGTCTGAGGTAGAATCTGCTGCGAATTTGTTTTCTCTGAAGCCGCAGGATATAGGTTTGAACCAAATAGAAAGTAATTTGGAAGAAAATATGTCAGGGAAAAAGAAGAGAAAGAAGAAAAAAAGTGAAAGAATTTCAACTGAAGCTAACCCCAATCTAGAGGTTTCTCCACCCAAAGTTGAGGACTCTGTACAATTTCCTGCTCCAGAGTTTCAAGATCCCAATGTGACTGAGGCGAACACTTCAAACAGAAAACACAAGGGGAAGAAAAGCAATCTAAATCTACCTGCATGTGATGTTGTTGGTGTTACTTTTCCACAACAACCACTTGCACGTGAGGTAGAAACTGCTGCAAATTCGCTTTCTCCAAAGCTGCATGATGTAGTTTTGAATGCAATGGAAAATCATCTGGAAGGAGATATATGTGGTGAAAAGAAGAGGAAGAAGAAGAACAAAAGTGAAATCATTCCAACACAAGACATCCCTAATCTAGAAGTTCTTTCCCCTGAAGCAGAGGGCTATGAACAACTGCCGGATCGAGAGCTTCAAGGGATTGATGTAAAAATTGAGACGAATAGCTCTAATAGAAAGCAGGAGAAGAGGAAGATTAATACTGTAAATAAACCCACAGTTGATGCTGCAGGTGTGAACATGACTTCTGTCCCACAACCACTGGCACCTGAGGTAGAATCAACTGAAAGTTTGCTTTCTCTAGAGCCCCAAGATGTAATTTTGAACCCAATTAAAGAAAACACGGATGAAAAAAAGAATAAAAGAAGTGAAAATACTCCAACTGAAGTCATCCCTTATCTAGAAGTGGTTCCAGGCAAAGCAGTGACCTATGTTCAATTGCCCGTTACAGAACTTCAAGAGTTAGATGTACACATTGAGGCAAATAGCTCTAACAGAAAACAGAAGAAGAGGAAGAGAAGCAAAGTTAATACAGCGACAGGTGATGCTGTTGATGTGGATGCTACTGCGCCACAACCACTAGCACTTGTGATAGAATCAACTGCAAATTTGCTTTCTCCAGAGCCTCGGGATGTTGTATTAGACCCAAAGAATAACACAGTAAATAAACCCATGATTGATGCTGCTGGTATGAAGATGACTTCTCCCCCACAACCACTGGCAGCTGATGTAGAATCAACTGAAAAATTGCTTTCTCTAGAGCCCCAAGATGTAGTTTTGGTCCCAATGGAAGAAAACATTGCTGAAAAAAAGAAGAAAATAACTGAAAATACTTCAACTGAAGTCATCCCTAATCTAGAAGTGGTTCCCAGCAAAGCAGTGACCTATGTTCAATCGCCAGTTATAGAACTTCAAGAGTTAGATGTAAACACTGAGGCAAATAGCTCTAACAGAAAACGGAAGAAGAGGAAGAAAAGCAAAGTTAATACACCGGCATGTGTTGCTGTTGACGTGGATGCTACTGCGCCACAACCACTAGCACTTGTGGTAGAATCAACTGCAAATTTGCTTTCTCCAAAGCGTCAAGATGTTGTCTTAGACCCAATGGATAACTGTATGGAAGAACTTATGGCTGGGAAAAAGAAGAAAAAAAGTGAAAATATTCCAACTGAAGCCATCTCTAATCTAGATGTTCTACCCCACAAAACGGAGGGCTCTCTACATTTGCCAGCTCCAGAGTGTCAAGAGCTAGATGTAAATATTGAGGCAAATAGCTCTAACAAAAAACAGAAGAGGAAGAAAAACAAAGTAAATAAACCCACAAGCAATGCTGTTGAAGTGGATACTACTTCTGCACCACAATCACATGCACTAGAGCATCAAGAGATGGTTACAAATGTGACCCGAGAAATGGAGGAAACAAGTTCAAGTGGGATAAAGTGTTCGAATTGGGAAGGGAAGAAGAATCAACATAAACCCACAAATGATGTTGATGGTGTCCCTTCTGCACATCCACCACTGCCACTAGAACTTCAAGAGAATGAAAAAAAATTGACTAAAGATCTAGATGAGCAGAGTGGAAGTGGGCAAAATAGTGCAAGTGAGAAAAGGAAAAGGAAGAAGAAGAAAAAGAATCTCACAAGTAATGTTATTGATACAAAGTCAACTGGTGAAGTACATGTTGCACCAGATAATCTTGAGAGAGATACACTTTCTCCCATAAATATTGAGGTAAATAATGATAATGGACGAAAGAGAAAGATAGGAGAAACTGATGTAGAGTTGGCTGCCCAAGTGATGGAGCCTGAGAATCAAGACTTGACAAATAAAATGAAGAGAAGAAATGTAACAATGGGAGAAGTTGAAGAAGTGGACAATGTTAAGACTGAAGAGATTGAAACTCTTTGTGCCGATACTATAAAGATGTCTTCTGAGGATGTTCCAACAAATAATGCTCTTGATGTTGAGAAATCTGCAATGAGTAGTGAAAATGGGCTACATTTAGCTTTTCCTGAAAAGAATATAGTTGCTGAAAGTTGCATTGAGGGGACTTGTCTTTCATCCAGCACAGGGGTAACCATGGATGTTAACCCTTGTTTGAGGAGAAAACTGCTCATCCTTGATTTGAATGGACTACTTGCAGATATTATTATGCCGCCACCAAAGGGTTTTAAACCTGATGCAAGTTTTATGCGAAGGGCAGGTGAGTTAAATATTTGCACATTTGTTAAGGCAATTACTGACCTCATGTTTTTTGTTAGCATCTGATGTTTAGTTTGCAATTATGTTTATGTCTATTACTTTGCACTATTCAAGATACAGTTGGTCACCACGGTTGATACACCTAATGATTATTTATTAGCAGCCAACTATGCTTTTATTTAATGCAGAACTCAAGAAGCAGAACTGTGAAGGGCTCAATATTGCAAAAACAAATCATAGTTGATAGTTCATACAACATATCTCTCGGAAAACGAACTGAAAAGCTAGCTGGAAGCTAAAAACTAATAGCTAGAAGCTGAAAGAAAATAGTTTTAAATTTTGTTAGAACTGTTTGATTACTTAGCGGTTGAGCATGTTCATAATGTGTAAACGGAAATCAACGACTTTTCTTTTAATAACAATTACCAATCAATAAAAGGAGTTATTTTAGTTAAAGAATAACCACTGGGAAGAACATAAAAAGCTAATCGTTTATTATGTAAAATGAGCTGTAAGGTCTTAAAGAAGTTCTACCAATCACACAATGTTTGGCTTTAAATTAGCTAATTGCCATTTTCTTTTGCAGTATTCAAGAGACCCTTCTGTGATGATTTTCTGAAGTTCTGTTTTGAGAGATTTGACTTGGCAATCTGGTCATCTAGATCAAAGTACTCAACTTCACATCTGTTGGTTGCTATGTTAATTATTTATACAAATTTGTTCTCTTCCCATAATCTGTCATTCATATATGGCTCTAGTGGCATAATATTTCTATAATGCAGGAGAATTATTGATAGAGTGGTAGATTATTTATTGGGAGATCTGAAGCACAAGTTGTTATTTTGCTGGGTTTGCTCTCTTCTTCTCAAATGTTTAATCTGATTTGCCCCCCACCCCTCCACCCACCCCTCCACACACACTTGCACCCACATTTCACCCCATCCCACACGTTCTTTTTTCTTTTATGTATGTTTTTAGTAATAACAAAAATATGATCTGAAGCACAAAAGTCTAAGATACCTTGTATATATTTCTCTTGTCTTTTGCAAGTGCACCAAAATAACATTTGGTTACGGAGTATAAAGAAATAGATTCATATTGGTTTTTCTTATTTAAAACTTTACAAAAAAGTCTCCTAAACTCTATTTTATGCAGGATATGTCTCATGCTACCATGACCAAATTCAAGACACTTGAAAACAAAGACAAACCGTTGGTATGTAAGGATTTGAGAAAAATTTGGGAAACAGGTTACCCAGCTCTACCGTGGAAAAAAGGAGACTATGATGAGTCGAACACATTGCTATTGGATGATTCTCCATATAAGGCCCTGCTAAATCCTGTAAATTACTTATCCACTATTCTAGTGTAGTAAAATCCATATATACTCCGTTTCATCTGTTATGAAGAGAGTATGAATTACATCTGTTTTGTTTCGCCCACTTTCCCAAAATAAGGTTTCTTGTCTAGTGGTTTGACTTGACACACCTTGGGTCTTGACTTTTAACTCCCCCTCTTCTCCTCGACTTTTAACTATAGTAATCTAGACTCCAAACTTTTGTGTTCAGTTCAGCCTTTGGTTTCTAGATTTTAGTTTAAATTAATGCAACATCAAGGGTCCAGACTCTAGCTTGGAGTCTACATAATCTAGTTACAATTAAGGAGAATAGAACATGCACTTATACCCTCTCAATTAGAATATAATTTGTTATATCCCAATGACATAACAAAGGTTTTACTATATTTTAAGTTTCATAACATACCTGTATTTGACATCTCGATTGCCAAGTAATTCTTTTCTGATAATTGCTTCTGCCTTCTATAATTTTTAGGCTCACACAACTATCTTTCCACATTCCTACAACTTCATGGACAAAGACAAGGATAACTCGTTAGGTGAGGTTTTATTTCCCTACATTGTGGCTTGCCATGGCCATCAGCTAAGTGGTTAAAAGCAGTCTCTAGATAGCTAAGAATGCCTAAAATTTAAAAGCAAATTCTCTCCATATTCCAGGTCCTGGTGGCGATCTTCGTGTTTTCTTGGAGAAGTTGGCAGATGCAGAACATGTACAGAAGTTTGTTGAACAACACCCATTTGGGCAACCTGCAATCTGTGAGAAACACCCCAGTTGGGACTTCTACTCCAAGGTTATGAGGAGTCTTTCACCATCTTCATTCTAACCGTGGAGGAACTATGAATGGAACAACCTCTTTTCCTTCCTAATCTTGTAAGTTAATTCTTTGGTGAAACTTGAGGCCCTAAAAAACTGTGTATTTTAGCAGGATCCTGATTGGAACAAATAGTGATTAACTCAGGTAAATTTTGTACTATTTATTTTTATGAAATATGTTTCGAGTTAACCATAAGGACTTTCTAGCTAGAGAATCATGCGGCTGATTAATTGTGAAAATCGGATTCTCGTGAGCATCGACAACTGATTCTAGCTAGCCACAATCTGAAACATTATACATCAACTTATTTTGCTTATTTTGAGAATCAAAATTAGCAGAGCTTGTTTTAAAATCCAAACCGAATGAGGACTTGGGGTGTATTTGGTTTAGATTCTTTTAGCTGATTTTGATTCTTTGAATCATCTAAAACAGAGTTGGTGTTATTTTTGCATTAAATCTTCTATTGGTATTGATCGTATCCACAACATTGCTTTGAGGATGACCTCTTGATGTGTTGCTAATGTGCCATTGGATTCGTAGTTGATGGGATGGTTAGTGAGCTGTGGTAGACATGGAAAATAATTGAGAAAATGGACTTGTTTGGTTGAATGCTTCTATCATGTAGCTTAAAATAAAGATATAAAGTCAAATGGCTTCTAAGAAAATAATGTATGTAAAATAAATTTATTTTCTGGTGTTTGGTTGAAAGTATGGAAAATGAAAAAAATTAATTTTTTTGTGCTATATTATACTAGTAAAACGTTGTGAGTTTTCATTTACGGAGTACGAAGTAAGAGTATGCTAGATAAAGTATTCGGTAAAAAAGTAATTTATTTTTCCTCCAAATAAAGCTCATTTTCCGCTGACTTTGGAAACTATTTTTCACTCACTCTTATTTTTCAAAACAACCAAATTCTCGAAAATTGGAAAGTGATTTTCGGAAGTCATTTTCCCCCCCTTCCCAAATGAAATTTATCTCCAAGTGCCATTTTAGTATTGACGGGGCAATTATCTGAAATGAGTTAAATTGCGTTAAACTTCCAATTCAACAAATACAGAGCGAATTGTTCTAGGCAATCAACTTTATACTTTGCATGATTATCTATCTGTGTAGTTGTCCGGATTCAAATTTGAACCTATTCTTTGTGACTCACTATATCTACTAGTTGGACTATGGTAATTAGATAAAACTTAATTACACCACATGTTTTATTGAATAAGAAGTTGAGTCACTATGATTTTTTCATTGGGTCACCTTTATTATTATAGCGTGGCCAGTCATACTAACACAAATACACAATACTAAGACTATATATATGTATATATATATATTTAAGTTTTTGATGTATACCATTCTCAGTATTTTGATATTTGTGGCTATTTTGAAAGGTTTGGTTAATGATGCTACTGACAATGACAAGAAAAGGAAGGGAAACTGCCAAAACCACATTCATTGCCCAACACATGATACCTCATACTTCACAATCAATTTTTATCTCCAAAATTCCCTCATTCATTTCTTATATACTTTTGGTCTCATATTCAATAAGTTCCTTCCTGCTTGCTTTTTTAGAAAAAACTCTATCTATCTTCTTACATCTAGCCAAAGTTCTATACTTCACTCGTCCCGCAAAACATTTCATGTTTTGACTTTTTAGATGACAAATTGTAGAAATTTGGTTAATGTGAAACGACAACAATTGAAATGAGTAGTGCTCGAAAAATGTCAAAATAGATAAGGCGTAGAAGGTAATTGAAATTAAATTAAAATATTTTATGAGACAAGATGTAAAAGTTGAAAATTTTACTGAACGGAAAAAGTATTACTCCCTCCGTCCTTAAATAAACTTCCTTTTTTGACTTTTTGAAAAATTAAGGAAGGAATATTTTGGTGTTGACTTTCCAAAAATACCTTTGATGTGATATGTAGATTATTAGTAAAAAGGTATAATGTGATAGGTATGATATGAAAAAGTAAGGGGTAAAAGGGGTCTTTTAAGGGAAAAGAGAAGTTTATTTGGGGACAAAGAAAAAACGAAAGGGGAAGTTTATTTAAGGACGAAGGGAATACTTTTTAACACGTTATCAGAGTTTTTTTTTTTTTTGAACTTTTGACTAAATTAATTTTCATTAGAAATTTCTAAAGTTTTTAATTGAATTGGTTAAGTGGGCAAACAAATTTTAGGAAACCACTATTAGGAATAGTAAAAAACATGAATCACATAGTAAAGAAAAAATGCAACATGATGGCCTACAACAACTATGTATCCTCACTGGCGCCTCATTCAATTCATTCCCTTGTTGCACTATGCAATATTTCATCATTGACATGATGGATGTGAAACATGCTCCATACATCACCATCATCATCATCATAGATCTTCCCATGCCATGACCTAATTTCTTCTTCTTGTAATGATTCATTCACACAGTTTTTTTTTCTTTCTTCCAAGATTATATTCCTCATTGTAAGAGTTAAAAGGGATGTGGGATATGTAATGTTGTTGGATTATGCTATGTGTACCCCAAGTTTTGTACCCCAATTTGTACCCCGCAGTTTTGCACCAACACTTGGTGTAAAACTAATTTTTGTTAAATGCACCAACATTTGTGTCCGTGTGAATTTTTATTAACGCACCAACACTTGTGTCGGTGTAAACCATCGAAATGTTTGTGCAAACCTGTGGTGTACAAATGGGGTATACTTTTTGGTGTAAGTGTAGAACCATTTTACATATATTCTCCCCATCTCTTCCACTGCACCAAAAATAAAGATGACACACTTTCTTTCTAGCTCCCACAAATAAAAAAGTCCCCTCTTTTGGAATTTTGTCCAAACACCAAACCAAGTTATATTACTCGTATTTTGGTTCAAAATGTTTTTTTTAAATCCAAAATAATACTCCATCCATCCTACTTTGAAATACTCCCTCCGTCCCGTAAAACATGGGAGTTTTGCTTTTTAGGAGGGGTTTAAGAGGAGTGTATTTTGGTATTAAATTTCCAAAAATGTCCTTTGATGGAATGGTGAAAAGTATGATTTGATGGATAGATTATTAGTAAAAAGGTATGATGTGATAGGTAGGGTATGAAAAAGTAGGGGGTAAAAGTGACTTTTTAATAGACATGAGAAGTGTTTTTTGGGACGGATAAAAAAAGAAAGGAGAAAGGTTTTATGGGACGGAGGGAGTATATCAAATATCACCAACGAAACTGAATGAATTTTGATAAATAATTAAATAAAAGTTGAATTATATATTAGTAAAAAAATAATTTCATTCAATATATTTTAAATTATTATTTATTGTGCAAAATATGATATACGAATTTTATACAATCATGATTAACGTTCGTTAAGTTTGACTCAAAAAAGTTAAATTTGAGAAATATTCTAAGATTATTTATATACTCTTATTATCGTTCTAGGTTTGATCCGAGAATTGGGTTCTCATCACTTTCGTTATGGGACGGCCTAAAATAATATTATTATTCTATTTAGTGAAATAAAATGGGCGACATATCTTATTTTTCTCTGCTTTGTATTAACTCAACCACATAATTTCATCTTCACTTAAACTTCATAAAAAATAAACAGAAACTTAAATTTGCAACATCATATATATTCTGGCTACACAAATCTCAATCACTCCATTTTTTACTTTCTTTACCTACTTACTTATACCTGGTTGTTAATTAAAATTAATTTTTTGGTCATACATCTGCACCAATTAATGTAAAAATAATAAAGAATGCTTTATTGATTGAATGATTTAGAGGAATACAAAGTAATGAATATATAGGTGGAGTTGGAGTATTCTAGAATTCTCCCTATTTATGGCTAGATAAATAAGGAAATATTGTATTATAATAACTTTAGCTATAATAGGTAACAACCATAAATATAATATATAATATTAAATATATTAAAATAATTAATATATTTAACATGCTACCAACGTCTTGAGAGGTGAAGATTGAACGCCAACTTTTACTTGAATCGTGACCAGAATTGTAATCAGAAAGCTGGAGGCATATCTTCGACTAGAGTAGACTGAATGCATCCCGACAGAAGAGAAGAAGAAAGATTGCTAGGAAAGAGATGTGACAGCGCTGATGAAGAGAGGAGAAGAGCTGCTACAAACAAACTCATGCTGCTGACGTCGAATGAGGGAGAAGGTTGATGTGCGCTGTAGTCGTTCACAACTAATTTATAGAAACTAAAAGAATGAAGTGTTGCTAGGGATGCTTGTCAACTGAAGATTTGCCGGCTGAGCAAGCTGATGTGACAATCTCATCTTAAATCAAGAAGCGGCGGTGATGGATCTAGAGATGGACAATTGTGGTTGGCTGGGAATATTTTTTTTTTGCTACATGGAATATTGTGAAGGATTAGGATCAAAGGAGGAACAAGCTAAGTGAAGTTGTGGCCGCCGTCGCCGGAAAAACCACCGGCGACGGCAACGGCGGAAGCAGAAACTGTTAGGTCTCCAAGAACGAAGGCTTTGATACCATGTAAAAATAATAAAGAATGCTTTATTGATTCAATGATTTAGAGGAATACAAAGTAATGAATATATAGGTGGAGTTGGAGTATTCTAGAATTCTCCCTATTTATGGCTAGATAAATAAGGAAATATTGTATTATAATAACTTTAGCTATAATAGGTAACAACCATAAATATAATATATAATATTAAATATATTAAAATAATTAATATATTTAACAATTAATTAATAAGTATAAATTTAATCTTTCTTTACAAATGAAAACTCAAATTGTATGCAAATAATTATGCTTACTCATTTTAAAAACATGTGTATATATAATTGTGCGAGTATAAAAAGTGTTTTTTAAATAGAACACAGGACCAAACATTCAATTTAAATGAATCATCATCTATCATAGCTAAATTCTGCAGTCTTGGTCCATCTATATCAATTATTTATGGATACACTACGAGGTAAACTTGCAACATTTATGGCATTGGTTAGTCTTGTAAAGGGTTTGTACACTTTTTTTTGCAGGAATAAAACACGAAATATGATGTTTTTCTGCGGAATAATACCACTTTTGTACGTACATTTTTCTAATACGGAGTAATAATAATAATAATAAAACATCTGATATTACGTCACGAAACTCATTATGTTTTACTGCTATATATAGATGATAGCAAATAGAAAAAGTATGAATTTTATTACAAGAGGAAGGTAAAATATGTCAATTATTGTAGAGATAAAAAAACATACTTAAGACGATTATTTTAGAGATATACCGCAAAAAATC